GAGTGCAGGCAACACAGGTAGTAGCAGCATCGAAAAGCCCACACCAGTATTAGTGACAACTCATGAAAACTGCCCCCATGGCGCTCCATGTAAGACTTATAGGCAACTTCATAGATCCAGAAAGTCTCTTCCCCTTAGAGGGAACCCCAACAAATAATTGCTACTGCTTGGATAAACCTGGAGAGGAATCTTGTGACCCCTATAAACGCCAGTCTTCTGAGACTTGTACGTTTTATTTACTCCCTGGTCTTAGGAATGTTCCTGCTCCCTCCAGGAGGGAGAGTTTCGGTTTGGAAATCACTGCACAACACATGTGGGAAAGAGGGTGGGTGGAGGGAAGAGGATTAGCCTGTGAGATGGTGGACCTGGGAACACCTCTGTGTGTGTTCAGGAGAACCTTACTTCCCGTGGAGACACGATGGTTCCACGTAGGAGCTGCTGTGGAGTCTGGATGCTGTGCTCCATCAAGCATGTCTGTCAGTCCAGGTCGAAGACAGCAAACTGTCTCAGCAATTTCCAGCGAAAGTGTGACAGTTGATCCACTCAAGACTAGTGTGGCCTGGCTCTTTAAGAGTGTCTTTCTTAGACTTCTTGGGAGAGACTAGATCAGCCCTGATCCTGGTTCACATGCTGTTGACCTTGACACGTTTTCTGAGCCTCTGTTTTACATGTGTGTATAAAACACAGCAATGACAACCTGCCAAGCCTATTGTGAGGACAGTAGTCATGTGAATGTTCTTATGCAGGACCCAGAACTCAGTGGGCACTGGAATGATGACATCTTCATGTCTTTCTCTCTTTCTCAGTCACCCCAACCACTTTTCCTGGCTCACTTGTCTCCTGTGATGCCCCTGCTCTCCCGAAACTTTCCGATCACCATATATTCTCTCTGATATCATAATATGTTTCCCCTGCACGTGGTAAAGGAGACCCAGGAGAAAGTAAACTAAAGGTGATTTTATTGGCTAGAGGAGATCAAAGAAGCGGGATATGATTGAGGTAAAATAATGAAAGTTGGTTATCTGTAGAAAACCTATGTATGCGGTAGACACGGTTCTCCACGTCTAACTCTGCTCTCACTCCAGACAAGGAGAAGCACAGTCTTCTCCGCTTCTCTGTGGCTGCGGTGGAATAGAGCCAGGTGAGCAGCCAGTGGGTGGCGGGCGATAGAGAAGAGATGGCACTGAGCTTGGAGTTTCGGTTGCAGGGTCTGCCAAACCTGGTCTTGCTCACCAAAGTGAAGCCTAAGCCATCATGTTAAGGTGGGGCATCATAAAACAGCAGTGGCCCTGAGGGGCCGAGCACAGTGTGACCCACAATAGATGTACAATGTGAATAACAAGGCAGCGTCTGCTATTGTAAGCTACTAGAACTTTCAGCGTGTTTAATATTGAAAAATAATCGCTTATAAGAACACAATGTTCCAAAACTTGACTTTCAAATTGTGGTTTAACAAATATCATATTTGTTAATATTTTTATGAGTTTTACTTTGTTTGTTTGGGTTTTTTTAAAGTCCCCCCTCAAAAGAAACAAACAACAAAAAAAAAACAAGAACAACAACAACAGAAACCATTAAATCCTGATTTAATGGATCTTTTGAGGGAAAGCACTGGAATTTTTAATGTGCACCTTGAGCCTTGCCTTGTTGAGCCTTACACACATGAAGACTAAAGTTCAATTTCTAGAACCATACAAAAAGGCTGGGAGCAGTGTGAAATACATGTAATCCCAGCACCGAGGTGGAGGAGACAAGGGGATCCTGGGACTGACTGGCCAGCCAGTCTAGCACTAAGCTAGAGTGAGTTCCAGGCCAACGAGAGACCTTGTCTCCAGGTAAGAGGATCGTGCTCTTTGTATGACACCCAAAGTTGTCTTCTTCCTAGCTGCCTCGTGGACATGTCCATATGTGAGCACACACAGGCACTTGCTTACATGAACATGTGCACACACATACATGAACAAATGCACCTGCTCACATGTACATGAACACATGCACACATGGTAAGAGAAAAATAGAAAAAATATTAATTCTTGGTTCCCATCCCAACCTTCTGAACCTGGTTCTGCATTTTTAACAAGATCTCCGGATAGCTCTTGTGTGCATCAAGGCAGGAGAAACCCTGATTTAGATGCTAGCTGGACTTGACATTACATGACCTACGACTTTAGAGTTCAAAGTTGATTTTTTTGGTACTTATTTGTCAATTTTTCTGCTTATTTTATGGGAAAAAAATCTTAATTTGAGGCCAGAATTGCTTACCATCACACTAATAACCGTTAGTACCCATTTTAGCAAGAAAATGAATTTAGATCCCAGCACTCGGGAGGCAGAGGCAGGCAGATCTCTGGGAGTTTGAGGCCAGCCTGGTCTACAAGAGCTAGTTCCGGGACAGGCACCAAAGCTACAGAGAAACCCTGTCTTGAAAAACCAAAAAAAAAAAAAAAAAAGAAAAAAAAAGAAAATGAATTTAGGCCGTGTTGAATTCTGGGAGAGGTGAAGGTGGTCAGACGGAATATAGCAGTGTTGCTTTATTGTCTTTCCAATGGTCATCTTTCACCCGTGGCAAACAATACCAGCTTTCTAGATAAAGCAGTGACAGGAAAATTCTCAAACAGGTTGATCTGTAGGAAGAACTGTACTTAAAGCAAGCACATAGTGGGATGTATTTGTTTTGATCTTTCCTTCCAGGCTAGGAAATTATTAGTTTGACATCCCTGACCTCTGACCCCTTTACACAGCAACACCCACAAAGCAATGTTCTGTCCTACGGGCTGAAGGTGAGGAGAGAGCTCTGTCGGATTACACATTTGGGGAAAAAACGGGCATGTTCGGAACGTCCTCTGGAAATTTAGATACCCAGTAGAAAACTTGAAGATTAGTAAATGTCCAGCAATCAAGTAGTTATTGATTTATTGATTTCCTTTGTTTAAAATTGTGTGTATGGGAGAGTTGTGCTGTGCATTCGATCTATGCATAGTTTAGCTTAGATGTGTGCATGGGGCAAGTGTGCATGTGGAGAACAGAAATCAACATCAGGCATCTTTCCTAGACAGCTCTCTCTCTCTCTCTCTCTCTCTCTCTCTCTCTTTCTCTGAATCTCCTCTCTCTCTCTCTCTCCCTCTCCCTCTCCTTTCTTTTTCTTTCTTTTTTGTTTTTGTTTTTGTTTTTTCCCCTGGCTGTCCTAGAACTCACTTTGTAGACCAGGCTGGCCTCGAACTCACAGAGATCTGCCTGCCTCTGCGCCCTTGTGTACTGGGATTAAAGGCGTGAATCACAATGCTGAGCATCTTTTGTTTGTTTGTTTGTTTGTTAAGACAGTATCTCTCACTGAATCTGAAACTCTTTAGTTTGTTTAGGCTGCCTGGTCAGTAAGCTTCTAAGTCTGTCTGCTCCCACCCCTTCCCAGCACTGGAGTTGCAGGCACACAGTGGGGCTCCCAGCTGGGGTGGGTGCTGGAGATCTAAACACAAGCCTTCATATTTATAGCAGGCACATGAGCTGAGCTGTCTCTCCAGACCCAGAATATTTTTTTAGCATGCCTTTAAGGTGAACTGACAAATCTAGGGTTTCAGTTGTCATCCTTTTGTTCCTCCACAACCCAGACGCACTACTCCCAGCAGAAGGGTCCTACACCAGCTCTGTCCGATCAGGGAGCTACAGGACCTCGGATTTCTTAGTTTTCAAATCTTTCAGAGGCAAGAATACCACTGAGCGTAGAATTCTTCACCTTCACCTTCATGAAGCAGGAGACAAAATCAAACCTTGCTTTAAAGCCCCTGCCAACCCCTCCTAGCCCAAGTACTGCCCATTCAAGCAGTTCAACCACACGGATGTTACCGATAACTCTTACTGATAAACGATACCAGAAAGGTCGTGGATAAGATGCCCTGAGCTTGCATCTGTGCATGCCAGTTCTCCATCATTAGGTTAAAGTGGTACCCAGTGCTACCGGGGCCAATGCTGCTTTATTCTCAACATTCTGCTTCCTCTGCAGCTTTAGGACTGTAGAGCAGGAATCATTTTTGCATTATCGGATGCTGCATCCGGAGTATCTCAAATATGTATTCAATACATCAATCATCAATACTTCTATAATCTGTTTTCTGGAACAAGAAATCCTCATGCCTCTGCCTCCTAAGTGCTGAGGTTAACGGTCCATGCCACCACACTAAATAGTCTTTTTGAGACAGAGAATTCTTCCAGGGTGCTCACTTTAAGGGACAAGTGTAAAATAAAAGTGTCACCTATCTTCTCTGTCCACTTGGCCTGACTATCTTATCTAGTCTGACCTCATGAAAGACTCTACATTCCAAAGGACATCTCCATTCTTTTGACAGACACATCCCGCTCTTCTCATTTCTGGAACGATCTCTAATGGAAGCAAGAGGAGAATTCTCGTTTATTGTTGTCTGCCCAGGTCCAGCACAGAGCTAGACAACTGCACGAACACGATGACCACTGTCTCTAGAGTCCTGGGAGATCTTCACTACACAGACAAGGAAAGAAAAGCTAGGTCATAGATGGAAATTCCTTGTAGGTCTTCAAAAACCTCAAATCTTTGTAACGTTATGGACTCTAAAAGAAACCTGGTTTATTTGAGTTTTGGTTCTTGTCTTCTATGAGAGCTGAGGGGAAAATCAACGTTTCCATCACCCTTTTCCCATAGCGTTGAGGTTAAGAGTCATCAAGGGCTTCTCACCGGGAACGAGAACGCTGTTCAGGAGAGGTGGAGCTGGTGCCAGAAACCATCCCATCCAGCACAGAGACACTGCAGAGTCCTGCCCTACCCCACCCTGCGTTTCCGGGGCATAGAACCCAGCTCCTCTGCTCCACACAGCGGGCACGCAGGAGGCTGGAGGCCGCACCTGGAAGCTCAGGAAAGCGGGTGAGTGACAGACCGGGCGGAAGGGGGAGGGGTGTTCAGGAGCGGTGCTAGTCCCCTGTAATGGAAGGGGCTGGGCTAGCCACGTGACTGCAAGAAGGCGGAGATAGGCAAGCTGGAGACCAGACTGGCAGGCGCTGGAGGGGTGCGGAGGGGTTTAGATCTGAATAATTGAGGAGCGATTCAGCAGCAGCCGCTGCCTCCCGTCTTCCTTTACCACCATCACCGCTCCCACCTCAGCTCTAAGTGCAGATCGCAGGCCATCAGCATCCAGGTCATCACCTCCAGCCCCTCTGGTGAGTGGATTCCCCCCTTCACCACAGGCTGTGTCTCTTGTGCAGCCCCAGGTTTCACAACTGGACCCCTGCGAGGAAGATGAACCAGGGAGTCCTAGGCACCCAAAGGGAGGAAGCGGGAATATGGCGCGGAGGTTGAGGGCGACCTACGGGAAGGGGGTCTCTGAAAGAAAGAATAAGCGAGGTCAGGGTCGCGCGGGCTCCAGCCGAGAATGGGGCCCCCGGTAGCATCTCCGATGTGGAGACAAGCGGGAGCTGACAGGCTGGGCGCAGCCTCCACCGCGGCGGGAGCGCGAGGCTGAGATGCTGCGAGTCTGGGCCGCCTGGGTCTCCGCAGCTGGGGCCCATCCTGTCCTCCAAGCCTATGAACGCACCTTGCTGGGGCAACTGGGCTCTCGGCTTGGGACTGAGCCCTTGGATAAAGAAGAGATGTTTTCCGGGCCGCAGTCCCTGAGAAAGGCAGGGACAACAATCTGTCCTTTTACCTGAGCAAAACTCTTCAAAGGGAGCCCGTCGCCCGGGACTAGGCTGGTGCGCCACGGGGAGTATCTGTCCCTAGCCAACCGGGACACCATGAGGCGCTGAGAAGGATGTGACAGGAGAGGTATCCGCCTACGTTGCTGCCCAGAGCTGGAGGCTTTCGTCCGAGCTATTTTGCATCTTTAGCCTGGCCTTTTCCCCAAACCCAAAGCACATTCAATTTCCTATGAATTCTGAGAGCCAGAATAGAGTGGCGTGGCTCTGAGCCTCCTCTCTCCCCTGAGTCACCTCCTCCCCCGTCAAATGTGCATTTTATATTACGATCGAGCAGTAAGGTAGAGGCTGCCAAATGACTCAGAAGGGATCGAAAGACAGAGAAAAGATGAAGGAAGGTAGGAGCAGCAGAGCTGTCGCCTGTTCTTAATATTAATCCCGCTACGTGTGTGAAACTCGGTTCATTGAGATCTTGAGTCCAGAGGCTCAAAGGAAGTACGCCTGACTGGTAGAGGCAGTATCTGAACTCAGTAGCCTAGGGATGCAGGGATAACCAGCCTCTTCTCCCGGGTCACGGAGAGAGCTGGGTGCTCAAGCGGAAGAGCTGGCTGGAGCGAGGCGGGGTGCTGTCCGTGGTGCTGAAAGTTGCCTGCTAGGAGGAAAATACCCGGGAGCTCGTGGGATCCCCACTTTCTGGCTAGCTTTCCCTGCGAGTGCCATATAGTCACCTAAAGGGCGTAGTCTGGTGTTTATCTAGAAAACAAGTAAGAATCCTTTGCCTTCCCAGTTCTCTGCTTCCCCGGGACTTGTTTGAGAGGTTCCCAGCTCTCCTGGGTGGATGAGCAAGGCGCCCCTGTCGTTCCAGGATATGACTTTATAACTCCGGATGATGCCTCATTCTGCCTGTTGAAAAAGCTGCTAGGGATGCTGTCCTGCTAAGCATTTCTGTGGCTTTCAGAAACAGAAGCATTGTAAGGCTACAGAAAAACAAGTGAAGTCATTAAAAGGGAGAGAGATTTGTTCTTGTTTGGGGCTATGACTCTTCTCTCCTCTGCACCCTTCTCTCGTCACCACGTGTTGTTTACATCCTCCAAACACCGATTTTAATACAGTGTGGGCTTGTTTCTTTAACTGTGTCTTGTGGGTCAGATGAAGAAAGGAGAAAGGCAACTGGAGGCTGTATGTTAAGAGAATATTCATTTGCCGGATACCTGCAGTCTGCTAGACAATGTCATCTTTAGGCTTCACTTTCCACACACCGCTCTCTTCTAATCCTTTCTTCTTTAATCTGTTCGCCTACCCACTGTCGCTCACTCCCACCCTCCCAGATGCCTTATGCTTGCTACAACTGTTCACACAACTTGAGCTCCAAGTTTCTAGAAACAGGTTGGAGGCAAAACCAATAGGCTTTCCTGGAAGGACGAGAACTAGAAGAGTGGGCTGAACCTGGAAATCCACATCTGCTTTTGTATTCAGATGTGTGCTGTTGTATTTAGGGTTAGAAGAGTTTGAGTATGTAATCGGCTCCGCTGCTCTACTGAAAGGAAAGCCTGGGAACCCAGAGGAGTCACTCTTCGTGGTCACATAATTGAAACGTTAGTATCTGAATCCTGCAAATGTGTGGCAGAGCCAGTACCCTTCCCACTAAGCCATGGGGCCTGAAATGCTCACCCACAATGCCACTTACCCAGATACCCTTTCCCATCACATCCTTTGCACCACCTCGTGGTGTTCTGGTCAGCCAGGCACAGATGCTACCCATGGCTCACCAGCCTAGATGATATTAGTATAGTGATATATTACAAATGTCTAACATACAGACAGTCCTCTTAGCTACTCTTTCTCTTGGATTTTTCCTCTTCTGGTTCTATCAGTCCAGTGCTGTCTGTCTCTGTGTATCTGAGAGACATAAACCTCATCAGTGACATGTTTCCTATGAAGCAGTTCACAAATAGGATGGTACTAAGACTGTCCTCAACATGCCCTTGTTATCTATACTCTCTCTCTCTGACATCGTCCATTCCCCAAAACTAAGTAGCTCGTCATAGCTTCAAAGGGACTTGGAAAAGGGCTCAAAAATAATCTAGGCAGAAATAAAGATCACTGTAAGTGCAAGTACCTATAAAATGCTTTCCATAGGCTGTGCGTGATACTAACTCCTTTCCTTTATCATTTCTTGGGGTCTCCCCAATTCTCCCAAGTACAGAAATCATCAGGGGTGGTCCTGAGATTATTCTGGTCATTCTAGCCCTCTGATATCCCATTCACTTCTCCTTGCTTCTCTTTAACAGCTTGGAGTGAAATTTCTTCAGTCATTGGATTCCTGTAGCCATGATGATTGCATTGGCGCAGTAAATATTTTTTAAATTCTTCCCTCATATGTTACATTTCAACTGCAGTTTCCCCTCCCTCCCCTCCCCTCCCCTCAGTTTCCCCCTCATCTTCTCTCTCTTCCAGATCCACACTCCTTATCTCCCCTCAGAAAAGAGCAGGCCTCCCAGGGACATCAACCAAACATGGCATATATATTCTACACGAAGGCTGGGCATGACAACTTGGGAGGAGGAAAAGGGTCCCAGAAGTAGGCAAAAGAGTCAGCAACCCCTCCCCAAGCTGCCACTGTTAGAAATCCCACAAGCTAGCTTCTCAGCCATAACATATATAAAGAGTACCTAGTCAGACCCCTACAGGCTCCCCGATCTCTGTGATCCCAAAAGTCTTGGTCAATTGATCATGTGGGCCATGTTCATGTGGTGTCCCTTGACTCCCCGAGCTCTGCCTAATGTTTGACTGTGGAACTCTGCATCTGCTCCCATTGGTTGCTGGATGAAGTCTCTCTGGTCTCTTTGATGAGGATTCTGCTAGGCTCTGTTCCCAGAACATTCTGCAGGCAGGACAAACTATAGGTCAAAAATTTTTGTGGCTGGGTTGGGTGTCCCAGTCTCTCCACTTGAGGCTTTGCCTGATTACAGAGGATGGTGGGTTAAGGTGCCCCCATTACTAGGGGTCTTTGCTAGAGTTACTCTTGTAGAGTCCATGGAGTTTTCATTGCAGTAGGTTTCCACCTTACCCCCGAAATGACCCCCCTAATTCCAGCAACTTCTTTCACTCTTTTCTCCCTTCCCACACACCTGATCCCTCCTGTTCCCAAACCCACCCATCCCCAGTTCACCTGTGAATTCTATTCTACTTACCCTTCCCCGTGATATCCTTGTGTCCCTCCCTAAGACGTCCTTGTCACTTAGCCTTCCTGAGTCTGTGGACCTTAGCATAATTATCTGTTACTTCACAACTAATATCCACTTATAAGTGAGTACATGCTATGTTTCAGAGTAGGCATTTTTACTGTCATCATCATCATCACCATCATCATTATTTTGGTTTTTCAAAACAGGGTATCTCTATAACTTTGTTTGGAGCCTGTCCTGGAACTAGATCTTGTAGACCAGGCTGGCCTCGAACTCACAGAGATCTGCCTGCCACTGCCTCCCAAGTACTGGGGTTAAAGGCGTGCCCTACCACCGCTGGGCCACAGAGTAGACATTTTACACTGAATTGATAGTTCTGTCTTGCTCCAAAACTTAGCTTAAAAATTAAAATTCAATCCAAATGACTCTGAGAGGCAAATGAACTTATTACCCCCTCCTTAGAGATCCCCAAATTCCTTCTTATTGCTATTGCCAACATTTTACTTCTGATGCCCCCTGGCCCAGTTAAAGCATAACTCATATTAAATTCATATCAAATAACCCCATAAGCCTAAAGATGCTATTGATGGGGTCCTGTGAACCATGATCTTAAACTGTATGGAACCTCTCTGTCCATCATCACTAGCTGCATAGGTGCAACTGGAGCTAAAATATTTTGCAGTCATATCTCATATTTCAAGTGCTCAACACCTATAGGTGCCAAATGACTGACTACCTTGTCGGGAGGGGCAAAGCGTTTCCGTCATCGCAGAAAGTTCTGTTGGAAAATGCTACTTAAGAAAGTGCTTCTGAAAAATCCCCACAGCAACAAAGGACTAGGTATTGAGAAGAATTAAGGATTTAAGAGTCTCTTTGAAGCTTCTGACAAGAAAGGAAAAAAGCATACTTGTGCTTCCTGTGTCTCTAGCAGCCCAGAGATGGGCAGGTGGGCAGGGTAATCCAGGCAGCAAGGAGCTGCATGTCTGCTGGAGGACATGCTCAGCAGTGTGCTTCCTATGAACTCTACGGTCAGCTGGAGGATCTGATAGCCTTGGCAGTCGGCTTCCTATGAACTCTATGATTGGCTGGAGGATCTGGTAGGCTTGGCAGTCAGCTTCCTATGAACTCTATGGTGGTCTGGAGGAGCTGGTAGCCTCAGCAGTAGGCTTCCTATAGACCTGATGGTGTTTGGTTTGGTTTGGTTTTCTGAATTCCAACTTAGAAGTAGCCTTTCTCTTGTCTAGAATTCAGGCACAACAGCTTGTGTTTCCACCTTACCTTAACAAGTATATTGTGATAAACATGGAAATAACAGATGGCTTGAAACCAGGAGTGAGT